CATGGAGGATTCTCACCTCACTCCCCCATCCCCAATTAAATAACAGGCTCCTAGGCAAAGCAAATCTTTCCAATCGACCATGTTGCGCCAAATTCCAAAAATGAGAACTCCGGGCTTGTGAATTGCAATAATTTATAGAAATGAGAACACCATAGATTTGAAGGGTTCGAAATGGAGGGCCAGACTAGTTTCATTACCAAAGCTTTATTATTGAATTCCATAGCCTTAAATTAAACCAAGTCCCCCTACACGCTTCGGCTTTTTCATCGAAGACGAAGCTTTTAGATAGATATGTTTGCTTTCCGAAGAGAAGCCCCACCAGAAGTCTCGTGCAATAGTATCAATTTTCTGAGAAATTCCTTTGGGGATTTCTTGTATTGCCAATTTGCCATGAAATAGCAGAGATAGATGATTTGATATGAGTACTTACTGTCTTGCATGAGAGAGGCAAGCAGCTTCCTGTATTGCATGAGTGTGTTGATCTCTTGTGGAGAATGGTATGATGATAGGGGGCAACCTTGACAGAGGCCTCTCTCAGGCATGAAACTCTCCCCTAGGTGGCCATAGAAGAATATGAAAAGAACTAGTGGAAATACAGCAATGGATTAACTCATGGTTTTCAAAATTGGACCGGACCGGATGGTCAAACCGGGAAACCCGGAATTGGTTAGGTGACTGGTTCTGGTCATCCCCAAAATCGGATTTTCCATAAAAATCATTGATTTTGGTCAGCAAACAGCTGACCTAGGCCATTAACCGTTTGTACCATTTGAACGGTTTTGTCTAGTTTTTATTTTTTTTATTTTTTTTATTTTTTTGTTAGAACGGGCCGACCGTTCGGGTCGAATAGTCAGATCATTCGACCCGATAACCGGACCCCTGACCAGTTCAATCTCCGAATCGGTTTTAAAAACCATGAATCAACTTACAAAACTGGGGAGAGAAGCCACGTTGTCGTAAAACCCAATCCAAGGTGAGAAAACCTTTAGAGGCATAACTTTGCGCTCATTAAATGGGATTGGAGTGGTTTTTAACTTTTTTTTTTTAATTTGGGTAACTTTTTGCAATCCATGTAATGCAAGGTGTCTTGGGCTAATAAAATTGCCAAAAAAATTAAACTAGAATAAAAAACATATATTATATACACAATATAATTATATATTCTGAATATATATACCTACCACCTAGAGGGAATGAGTTAGCCTTCAAATCAATTTTTAAACACTGTTTTATCAAGGATATACAAACAAAATGGAAAATGATGGCAAAGTTTTTTAACAAGTACAAATAAAACCCCTAGAGAAATTCCAAAATTCATATATAAGAATATGTGATTTTTTGGTAATAAATAAAAAGATCATTGATTAAAGTTGTATTTGATACCTTTAGTAGTTGTTTATACTTAGAACATTTTGGGTTGATTAATACAAACTGGTGTTTCTACTTGAAAGTTAAATTTAATATTTTGACTATAATTGAGGCTTAGTTTGGGAAGAGTGTAAATAAAGATATGTACAATACAAAACCTTATATTGTATTTGCACTATACATATTTGTATATATACACTTCCAAAATTAAGCCTAAATGTCAATGATCAATCTCAAACATGCATTTTTCTAGTTGAAGTGAGTCTCATATGTGATATGACAACACATATTTTTCAGCAATTTGTATTGCTTAATCCAAAAATAAAAAAATTTTAAGTAGAATTGGCAATGGTACCAAACACAACCTAAGACATATGTCCAAATTTTCTAAAATCTTTCCATAAGGCTATGTTTGGTTTCAGGGAAAATTTTGGTGGAATGGGAAGGGATGAGAAAGGGAAAATAGGTGAAAAACTTTCACATTATATTGTTTGGTTGCAAAAAGCAAAAATTGTGGGAAAATCAACACCAATAATTATTACTAATTAATTAATTACTACTTAATATTTTTTATTATTTTATATTTTATTGTTAAGGGTCATTTATTAAAACACCCTCTATAGTTTCATGGATTTAATAAAATCTACCCTATAGTTTGTGTTTTACTAAAACAGCCCTATCGTTCGCAACCGATTTACTTAATCAACATTTCATTAGATGATAAAGGGAAATTATTGTTTTGACCCTAATGCCTATTTGAATAAATTTAATCAAAATAAACTAAAAATAAAAATACCATTTTTGCACCTAATAATACATGAGCAACCACTATATTTGGTCAATTTTGTTTCTGTATGAAGAAGTGTTTTTTTTTGTTCAAAAGCACAAATTTCATTAACTATACATTAGGAGAAAGAGGCAAGTCTTGCTCTACAAAAGCAAGGAACCAATTCTCAGATTCTACATGATATAGAAAGACCGGAGGCCTAAGCAAATGAAGTGCTATGAAGAAGTGCTTGGAGTACCATTGGAATAAATAATAAATCATGGGCCCATGCTCTGGAATGTTTTCCACTCGATCTAGGTGATCATGGTATGCTATTTTCAAATGGCAAAACAAAACTTCTTAGTGAAAGGTCAATTAAGTAAATAGGTTGAAAACTATAGGGGTGTTTTAGTAAAATGAAAATTATAGGGTAGGTTTTAGTAATTCCATAAAACTATAGGGGTGTTCTAGTAAATGACCCTATTACTTTTTTAATCAATTATTTAGTTAATTAATATTTTAATTTTAATATTTTATATTTTATTTCATTATTATTATTTATTATTATTATTATTATTATTATTATTATTATTATTATTATTAGTATTAGTATTAGTATTGTTGTTGTTGTTATTTACTTGATAATTTTTATATTTTAAAGTTAATTAATAATTATTAATATTGTTTTACTATTGAATATTTTATTAAGTATTAATTCTTGACATTATTTAATATTATGTTTTTTAGTTTTCCTTTTATTATTAATATTTATTAATAAGTAATAATTAATTATTAAATCATTATGTAATCAATTAGTATTTTTATTTAACCTTAATTAATTAATTACATTTTATTAAATAATTAATAATTTATTAACGAGTCACTAGTTGAATATTAACTCTTAAAAATACTATAAGGAAGGTGTTTTTTATGTTAAACTAGTATTCCCTTCCTTTGCCACTTTTTTTACACCAAAATGGTGTGATTTCACATCCCAAGAATTGAGAATGGTAATCTCACCTTTCTCCCATATCATCTCATCCCACAAACCAAACGTATAGGAAGGTAAGAATATTCAAAAATATTTATTTTTTCCCTTCCTAGCCCATAAACCTAGGGCTGCTGGGGCTAATTTTTTAAACTGAACTGAGGTTATCGGTTTTTCGAAAAATGGTAACCAAAACCGAATTGAAGCCGGCCGGTTAATCGATTGACTGGTTCAGTTAAGTGTCGGTTCGGTTTGTCGGTTTTTCAATTTTTTATTATTTACAATATTTATTATAGAAAAATATATAAATATATAATAAAATACTAGAAATATATATAATATTATATTTTAAATAATAAATACTATATAATATTATATATATATATATGTAATGCATATTTATTAATTTATAATGTATAAAAAATAAAAAATATATAATATATATAAATATACATAATATATATATAAATATATTATACCGGTTGGTTCGGTTAACCGCCGGTTTTCTAATTTGGTTAACCAAAACCAAATCGACTGGTTTGGTTAACTGAATTTTTTGTTTGATTTCAGTCGGTTCAGTTTTTTGTTTTTTTTGCTCACCCCTATATATGGGATATAAAATGCTTGTGTTGTTTGGGTCTATAGATGCAAAAGAGTCCTGAACTTAAATAGGTGAGAGAGCTAGTTGATCTATCACCATGCCAAAAAAAAAAAAAAGGAAAAATAAGAGTGGTAGTTTTGTGGTGACATCCTACAACAATTTCTCTTCTAGTAGTAGTGGCATCCAATGGCAGCAACGAAAAGTTTTTTTTTTTATGAAAGATCAACAAGAAGTTAATTGAAGTAGACACTCAATTTGGAAATGACTAGATTTAGCAACAACTTTAGAAGCAACAAAGTTGGGAAAAGGCGGATTACCAAAATAATAAAGGGTAAACTACAAAGACCCCCTGTACTATGGGGTCTATGACAAAGACCCCCCTGTACTATGGGGTCTATGACAAAAACCCCCCTATATTATGACTGACTGTGAGACAAAGACCCCCTTCTGTTAGTCTTATGTTGAAATCCGCCATTGCAATATTTTTTAATCCCCATACTACCCTTGTAGAGAAAAACATTATTCATCTTCCCCATACACAAATAGCGGCGGCAGCGGACTTCCTTAATCCTCCCTCTCTCTCTTCTTCCCCTTCCCCTTTCTTCTTCCTGATTTCCTCTATTTTCCATTTCTTGCAGATGGAGAGAGAGAGAAACTGTTTTCCGTTCCTCTCCAACATCTTGTCTCTCTGCTCTTGGGTGAATTTCGTCCAAAACCTCTTCTTTGATAGAATGGTTGTGAAGACTGTATAGATCCTCCAGGTGCATTGGACCGGTAGACATTGAGGTCCTCGCTTGACAACTCAGTTGCTTCGCCACCAATTCCACCACCCCCTCCGAAGGCCATCATCATGGGAGGAATTGACCCCGGTGACGGACTAGTAGGTAACCCCAGTTGAACTATAGCTGGGCATACTTGTATGTTTTTTTTTTGGTATAACCCTATAAAGATGTAGTTTTGTGAATTAGATATGACAAATTACTTCTCCGAATCCGGCCTATGCCCAGCAAATATGCGATGATAAAAATCTACCTCAGATTATGTGAAAATTAGCTCAAAACCCAGTTTTCTGCATACTTGGGCCGGCTCAAAACAAAGTAGCATCTATAAAATGCGCCTTCCAATCAGACCCATGTCCAATAACTCGGTATCTTTACAGTTCAATCAGCGACTTTGGCAACCATCGCCACTCTCATTTACTAAATGGAAAGGCAACTAGCCGAAGAAATCAAGTAAGTCATCTTACAGGATAAAATGAGAGAGAGAGATTTCAGGCTTTCAACTTTTGAGACGAAATGGTACCACCGGAAAGCTCTGCAAATTCTTTCCATTAAAAAATTATGAAAGGAGACTCAGGCCGCCGATGATCTCTTGGGTGCGATTCACGACTTTCCATTAAAAAATCACGAAAGGAGAATCTAAAGAGAAACTGTCCCCAGTTTTGTTAGATGCTTTGTTATTTCTCGTCAGCTTTTTGCAACATCATTGCCTAACGACCTAATCTATTCACAGCTCCACACTACAATTAAATGATCCTTCCTATTAGCAAGATTGTCGGCATGTCATGGTGTAATATAGTCAGTGACTCAGTGCCTCCGATCACGCCACCTTCCATGCCTACTACGGTCCCGGTGCCCAGTGTACCGGTGTCTTGACCAGTCAGGTGGTCTACTAGAATTGCGACCATAATCCCCTTCTGGGCTCAGAAAAATTCTGTCCGAACAGGTACTCTGGGGACCTCACTGGACTCTTCTCCGGGCTCCACATTTCAAGTTCTGGCTCACCGGCAAATTTGTTTGTCTCCCAGCGTGGACCAAGAGACATCAAGGGAGGCTGTACGACAAACGCATTATAATTGCTTTGGTTAGCGTGAACAAAGGGGATTGATACAGAACCCTGCCCATCCATTATGAATCGTCAAACGAGGACCTCAATGCGTACCAGTCCAATGCATCTGGGGGAAGAGAGAGCAGAAAGACAGTTTCTTTCTCTGTCATCAAGGAACGGAAAACAGAGGAAATCGAAAAGAAGAATGGGGAGGAGAGAAAGGGAAAGGAGAAGAAGAGAGATCTGGGGAGAGAGAGGGAGGACACGAAAAGCAAGAAATCAGATTTCGATACGTTGTGCTTTTTGTGCCTCTAACATTCAATATACTTCCTAACACGTGTGCTTCGACAACCATTGGAGTCGTATTCAAGGTCAACTCTCACCGCCCCTCGTAGTCAAATTGCATTTCCTCCCCATTTAATTTTCTAGTCATCTTCTTTGGTTAGTTCATCGGAAATAACTGTCATAACTTCATCGAATGTGGGAGACTCAGAGGAATGTTTTATTTTGTTTTTGTCTTTGTGTTATTTAATCCTGTAAGCCTACATTTGTTAACTCCTAACATTTTAGGGTTTCATCTCTGGATAGTGCGCCATAAACAACCGATCTTCACTGGACAAAAGTGACCATAAAGGTATGTTATCGCCCGGCCAATCATACTCTCTGGTTTCATTCGTAGAGCGTATCGAACTCAAAGAGTTTCCCCCGTTCGTAGCCTCCAGTAGTCCGTCGGTTTCAGGCCAAAATCTAGTCAGGCAATTCTGTCATTGCAACCTCACTGTGTGACTTTCTTTTCTCTTTTTTGGGTTTCATCGTCTTGTATCTTTCTATTGTATGGATCTGGGGAGAGGGAATGCTGATAGAGCCGGTGATGAAGTTCCACTGAACTGATTCCTCTAAGTTTGCTATCAGCCTTTTCTGGGTTTGAAGTCGCCTTTTTTTCTTCGGTTTTCTTTTTGGTGAGTTTGCCTTCTTATTCTTTTTCCTTTTGATTCTGTTTGTCATTTCCTTTAATATGTCTACCCTTAGCTTAGATAGTTTTCTAGACAGGAGTGGCGAGTCTGCTGGGGCCGAGGTGGGTATCTCGGCTTAGACCGTGGATCCTCGTCCTACCGAGGTGGACTCACCTCGGCGAGAGTGAAAGGCTTCTAGTAAATCAGCTTCCACCTCACACCAAGATCAACTACTAGATAATTTCGGCCCATCGATAATGACAACGGACAGACTCTTAGCCTTAGTATCCCGGTACAAACTCTCTAACGACCTTGTATATAGCATCCCCTTAGGCAGCTTTCCTTGGGATCATGATCACAACGAGATCGTGATCTTCGAGGAACAGCTCGTGGCCGGTCTGCATCTTCCACTTCACCCTCTTATAATCGAGATCGTTAAATTCTTTAACTTCACCATAGACCAGCTTCACCCGAACTCTATCCGTAACATCGTACGGACCATTTCTCTTTTCTACGATTACAACTGCCCCCTCGATCTTGACGTCTTCTCATTGTTCCTTTCAATTAAGAAAAACTCGTCCTGCGTTCTGCCAGGGCACAGGCGAACTGACTACTTGTCTTCACGTCCCGGGTACAAATTGCTGCACGAGCTCCCTAATAAGGTCCTGATCTAGAAGAGGCGTTACTTCATGGTCCGCAACACCGAGGAGTGGCCCTTTCCGACTCACTGGAGGGCAGCCATCCAAGACCCCGACGTTAGACTGGATCTGAAGACAAGGGAGGAGGTTCGATCTTGGGCAGAGCTCGGCCTGAAGTTCGAAAACTTCGTGACCGAGGAGAAGCTTGTGCAGGCCGGCTTAAATCCTCCTAGTAGGTCGCTATTTGTTGTACTTTTTCTATTTATTTCACTTCGGTACTATATCTGACTTAGCTCATTTTTTATCGCAGCTTCCATGGACGACATCCCTGCTGGCGAACTCTTCAGGAGTATGAAGGGGAAGAAGAATAAGAGAACCTCCAAAAAGGCTCGCGTCGAGGCCAAAGCAGCCACAGCTAAGGTTGCCTTTCCTAAGCCCAAACACCCACTAGTTGCCGAGCAGCCTTTCGTAATCAATCTGGTCGAGGAGGACTCGAGGAAGGCCACTCCACCCCCATGCCCGAGGAGGCTACATCTTCAGAGCCCGTCCCAACAACCACCACTTCTTCAGGCAGTGATGCTCCAATTCGGAGCATTTTGACACCGAAGTTCAACCTTCTCAAGAGCAAGGATGCGGTGTTCACTAAGGAGGTCACTCGTTGGGCCGACTTGCTAGTTGCTTAGCTCGGGGCCTAGGCGGCCACACACTGTATGGTGGTATGTTCTTGAACTTGTCTTTCAAATTGTCTACTACTTAGATTTTTTGTATACTGATACTCGTTTTCTTCTCTTGGCAGGTGAACTCCTCCATCCACACCTTGGCTTATTAGTCTGAAGTGAACCAAAAGCGGGCTCTCGAAGCTGAGGAGTCTTCCCGAAATGCCCACGCCGAACTGAACTTAGCTCGCAATGAAATCAACCAACTGAAGAACGACGCACGAGCTAAGAAGGAGCTACTAACTCTGTTGATGTCAGAGAAGAAGGAGCTCGAAGAGCGTGAAACGGCATCGAAGAGGGAGCTCGAGAACCTCGAGGCCCATGTGAAGGAACAAACCGAACTACTGATTCAGGCGATGGAGGAGGTGAAGATTAAGGTAGTTGAGGAGTACAAGTCCTCAGTGGAGCTTTGGGAAAGGTTGGTCGAGGCAAGGACAGTGGGTTATCGCAAGGGGTTCAAGCTCAGCCGGTGGATGACCCGACGTGAATTGCCCCACCTCGACCTCAGTGCCATAACCACGTCGAAGATCACCAAGGAGATGGCCGTCGAAGCTGCCAAGGACTCGAACTCCGAAGCGGAGAGTGATGACGACCTGCATGATGATGAGGAGGAGGAGACCGGTGCTGCCGAGGACCGTATGGAGACAGATCCTCCTACCAAAGTCTCCTATAAGGATGAAGAGCCCCGAACAGATTGAAGCCTCTTTTCTTGGACCCCCCTTCTTTTGTAATGCTCAACGTTTCGAGCCTCCGAGCTCGGTTAATTGTAATTGTAATATTTCTTCTTTTTTTTTTCTGTACTTGAAGCTCTTTATTAATGAAATACAAGTGTTTTGCAATTTTTGTGTGCAGGTTTTTTCTAAGTGTAGCTTTCTCCCGAGCTGGGGAGMTAAACCGAATAGGAGTGGACTTTTTTTCTAAGTATAGAGTACTCTCGAGTTGGCGAGCTTGACACTAGTAGGACTAATCTAATCGCCATTGTATGCCAGGATGAACAAACACTATAGGGTACATACCCGACCTGTCTGTGCCTAAGTCACTTTGCTTTGCCTATGCCGAAGAGGCGACTAGGACTTTTGTCATGCCGAGGTCTGTTCTCAGCTCGGCACCGTAGCCCTTAGGCTTATGGGAGTGACTTTTGGTCATCTCTTCAGCTCGTTGTCTATTTGACCAGTTTGGTGATTTCATGAGTGACTTATACTTGGAGTTGTGGATTCATCCATAGTATCTTCTTAAGTTGACGATGTTCCATGGTCGAGGTACTAGCTTCCCTTCCAAAGTCTCAAGCTCATAAGTGCCTTCCCCGTACACCCATCTTATACAGTATGGAACTTCTCAGTTTGGTCCGAGCTTAGCCACGCCGGGCTCAGGTACCATAGCTTTTCGTCGAACTAGATCACCGACACAAAACTGGCGCTTCTTAACTCGAGCGTTATAGTACCGAGCTACTTTCTACTGGTATGCCACAGTCTGAATGTAGGCCAGGTCTCGTACCTCCTCTACAAGATCTAGGTTGGTACGTAGCTCGTCATTATTTGCTTCCTCATCAGCCTCAAGTCGTAACGTGGGCACTGCAATTTTTGCCCGGATTACCGCTTCTGTACCATATGTGAGGTTAAAGGGGATCTCACCCATCGCTGTCTTGATGGTAGTAGGCCCAAAGGACGTTGAGTAGCTCGTCCACCCACAACCCTTTAGCTCGTGCAAGACGAGCTTTTAGCCCACGAAGGATGTCAAGTCGGGAAATGGATCGAGATCGTTAAATTCTTTAACTTCACCATAGACCAGCTTCACCCGAACTCTATCTGTAACATCGTAGGGATCATTTCTCTTTTCTACGATTACAACCGCCCCCTCGATCTTGACGTCTTCTATTTGATCCTTTCAATTAAGAAAAACTCATCTTGCGTTCTGCGAGAGCACATACGAACTTACTACTTGTCTCCACGTCCCGGGTACAAACTGTTGCATGAGCTCCCTAATAAGGTCTCAGCCTGGAAGAGGCATTACTTCGTGGTCCGCAACACTGAGGAGCTGCCCTTTCTGACTCACTGGAGGGAAGCCATCCAAGACCCTGACGTTAGACTCGATCTGAAGACAAGGGAGGAGGTCCGATCTTGGGCAAAGCTCAACCTGAAGTTCGAAAACTTCGTGACCGAGGAGAAGCTCGTGTAGGCTGGCATAAATCCTCCTAGTAGGTCGCTATTTGCCGTACTTTTTGTATTTGTTTCACTTTGGTACTATATCTGACTTAGCTTGTTTTTTATCGCAGCTTCCATGGACGACATCCCTACTGACGAACTCTTCGGGAGTATGAAGGGGAAGAAGAAGAAGAGAGCCTCCAAAAAGGCTCGCGTCGAGGCCAAAGCTGCCACAACTAAGGCTGCCTTTCCTGAGCCCAAGCACCCACCAGTTGCCAAGCAGCCTTTCATAATTAATCTGGTCGAGGAGGACTCGGGGAAGGCCACTCCACCTCGCATGCCCGAGGAGGCTACATCTTCAAAGCCCGTTCCAACAACCACAACATCTTCAGGCAGTGATGCTCTAATTTGGAGCATTTTAACATCGAAGTTCAACCTTCTCAAGAGCAAAGATGTGGTGTTCACTAAGGAGGTCACTCGTTGGGCCGACTTGCTAGTTGTTTAGCTCGGGGCCTAGGCGGCCACACACTGTATGGTGGTATGTTCTTGAACTTGACTTTCAAATTGTCTACTACTTAGATTTTTCGTATACTGATACTTGTTTTCTTTTCTTGGCAGGTGAACTCTTCATCCACGCCATGGCTTATTAGTCCGAGGTGAACCTAAAGCGGGCTCTCGAAGCTAAGGAGTCTTCTTGAAATGCCCATGCCGAACTTAACTTAGCTCGCAACGAAATCAACCAACCGAAGAACGACGCACGGGCTAAGAAGGAGATACTAACTCTATTGATGTCAGAGAAGAAGGAGCTCGAAAAGCGTGAAACAACATTGAAGAGGGAGGTCGGGAACCTCGAGGCCCATGTGAAGGAACAAACTGAACTACTGCCTCAGGCGATGGAGGAGGCCAAGGTTAAGGTAATTGAGGAGTACAAGTCCTTAGTGGAGCTTTGAGAAAGGTTGGTCGAGGCAAGGACAGTGGGTTATCACAAGGGGTTCAAGCTCAGCCGATGGTTAACCCGACGCGAATTTCCCCACCTCGACCTCAGTGCCATAACCATGTCGAAGATCACCAAGGAGATAGTCATCGAAGCTGCCAAGGACTCGGACTCCGAAGTGGAGAGCGATGATGACCTGCTTGATGATGATGAGGAGGAGACCGGTGCTGCCGATGACCGTATGGAGACAAATCCTCCTACCAAAGTCTCCAATAAGGATGAAGAGCCCCAAACAGATTGAAGCCTCTTTTCTTGGACCCCCCTTCTTTTGTAATGCTCAACGTTTCGAGCCTCCGAGCTCGGTTAATTGTAATTGTAATATTTCTTCTTTTTTTTTTCTGTACTTGAAGCTCTTTATTAATGAAATACAAGTGTTTTGCAATTTTTGTGTGCAGGTTTTTTCTAAGTGTAGCTTTCTCCCGAGCTGGGGAGMTAAACCGAATAGGAGTGGACTTTTTTTCTAAGTATAGAGTACTCTCGAGTTGGCGAGCTTGACACTAGTAGGACTAATCTAATCGCCATTGTATGCCAGGATGAACAAACACTATAGGGTACATACCCGACCTGTCTGTGCCTAAGTCACTTTGCTTTGCCTATGCCGAAGAGGTGACTAGAACTTTTGTTGTGCCGATGTCTGTTCTCAGCTCGGCACCATAGCCCTAGGCTTATGGGAGTGACTTTTTGTCCTCTCTCCAACTCGTTGTCTATTTGACCAGTTTGGTGATTTCACGAGTGACTTATACTTGGAGTTGTGGATTCATACATAGTATTTTCTTAAGTTGACGATGTTCCATGGTCGAGGTAGTAGCTTCCCTTCCAAAGTCTCGAGCTCATAAGTGCCTTCCCCGTACACCCATCTTATACAGTATGGACCTTCCCAGTTCGGATTGAGCTTAGCCACGCCGGGCTCAAGTACCATAGCTTTTCGTCGGACTAGGTCGCCGACACAAAACGGGCGCTTCTTGACTCGGGCGTTATAGTACCGAGCTACTTTCTGCTGGTATGCCGCAGTCTGCATGTAGGCCAGGTCTCGTACCTCCTCTACAAGATCTAGGTTGGTATGTAGCTTGTCATTATTTGCTTCCTCATCACAAGCCTCAAGTCGTAACGTGGGCACTTCAATTTTTGCCCAGATCACCGCTTCTGTACCATATGTGAGGTTAAAGGGGATCTCACCCGTCGCTATTTTGATGGCAGTCCGGTAGGCCCAAAGGACGCTGGGTAGCTCGTCTACCCACAACCCTTTAGCTCATGCAAGATGAGCTTTCAGCCCACGAAGGATGGCTCTGTTCGTTACTTCGGCCTGCCCATTTGCTTGTGGATGTGCTACCAAAGTGAAGTTCTGCTGAATCTTCATCTTAGCGTACTAGTTCTGGAATTTAATATCTTCAAATTGTTTCCCGTTATTTGAAATCAAGATCTTGGGGAGTTCGAAATGGCATATGATGGTTTTCCAAAAGAAATTTTGCACGTTCCATGTTGTAATGCTTACTAGCGGTTCGACTTCCACTCACTTCGTGAAATAGTCTACCACCACGACTAAGAACTTTCTCTGTCCGATTGCCGAAGGAAATGGACCGAGGATGTCAAATCCCCACTGCACGAAGGGCCATGGGCTAGTAAGATACTTTAAATCGGTAGCAGATTGGAGGATGTTGGCATGCCTTTGACATTTGTCACATTTCTTGACGAGTTCGAGTGCGTCTACTTTCATTGTGGGCCAATAGTAGCCCTGCCTTAATGCCTTTTGGGCAAGGGCCCTACCCCCTAGGTGTCCTCCGCATAGACTTTCATGGATATTGCGTAGTACAAGCTTAGCTTCTGTGGGTCGCAGGCAACATAGGTAGGAGAGCATGAACGATCTCCTATATAGTCATTCGTCTATGAGGACGTACCTGGCCGATTGTCGCTCTACCCTATGAGCTGCATTGCATTCTGCAGGTAGGGTCTTGTGGAGCGGATAATCAACAAGCGGGTCAATCTAGCTCGATTCCGCTTGCAACACGAGAGCGGCATCTCCTACACCCCTGAGAATGCTGGGGAGAGGTAGGTCCTCTATGTACATAGTCCGCATTGTGTTGTCATTCATACTTGCTAGTCGTGATAGGGCATTGGCCTCAACATTCTTGGACCTCGGGATTTGCCTGATGAAGCAGGAGCAGAAGCTCGACAGGATCTCTCTGACTCTGGTTAAATAGGCTGCCATGGTTGGGTCACGAGTTTCGTAGTTACCATTGATTTGGTTAACTACCAGTTGAGAGTCGCTGCAAACGATGAGGTGATTCGTTCCCATCTCCTTTTCCAAGTTTAGCCCGACAATTAGTGCCTCATACTCTGCCTCGTTGTTCGATGCCTCGAATCCGAACCAGAGAGCATACTCCAGCTTCACCTCGCTCGGGCCGTACATTATCAGTCTCGCTCCGCTTCCTCACTGGTTAGACGAGCCGTTAACATGGAGGACCCAGGGCTCCTCATCCTAGGTCGGTACTACTATGATTGGGACCGGTGCCGCATTGGTTGTTGCCTTCGACGTGCGAATGGGTTCAGTCAGTTCAGGGGCCGGTGCGCGGAATGTGCATTCTGCTACGAAGTCTGCCAAGACTTGGGATT